CTGAGCATTGTCTCCCTTACAGGAGATTCACGGTGCGCACTAGTATCTATTAATATTCTTTGGTAAAGAATTCTGTTTAACATTTGCTTAACAGTTTTCTCAAACCTAATGAATATTTAAAAAATTAACCTCTTCTGAACAGAGACCCCTGAGACTCTGCTTTGGGGAAATGATGAGAAATGGGAAGCCATTTTCTGGTTGTAAGTCAGGGCCCAACATAACCTTATTTGCATCTTATAAAGACACGATAATTTCTACCACATATGAAACACCAGGTACTCTTCAAAGCACTTAACTTAATTTTAATAACAAGTCCACAAGGTGGGAATTATTATTCTGTTTTGCATTGTTGAAATGAGGAAACCAAGGCATAAAAGAATCTGATAATTTCCCAAGGTTATAAAACTAGTTCTAAGTGGAGGGAACTGAATATGAACTTGGCCGGTCTGGTCTTGGAGACTATACTCAACATATCAGTCTGACTGCATGGGGCAAGAGGCTGGAGTCAAACAGGACAGGAGACAATTAGGATGTGGCTTTGAAAGCAACACTCCACAACCCCTATGTTAGACAGACTTTTCTAAAAGTGATCCCGACTGCATGCTCCAAGAATTCAAAGAATCTGATACAGGAGAAATCTTGAGCTCAGGGCCCCTCTGATGTTAGTTCTCCAGGCTCCCAGCAAATGCCACTTGCCACCAAGCAGGGGTCCGTGAGCTCAAGGTCTACAGGGTTAATCCAGTTTGGAGATGCATTTTGTTTGCCCTTCAAATTTCACAGAGTCCAAATCTGGGACTAGCAATTTTCAGTTTACTACAAGCCCCAATGCTCCCTATAAATCACTCCCAGCTGCTTTACACATTCATTGTGAGTGCCTTGCCCCAAAAGTATTTCAGTGTGCTATCTTTGTTCTCAAGGCTAGTTTTAGGTTTGGCTACCCTTGACCAGTTGTGCTATACCAAAAAGAAGGGAAGCTTCAGTCCCTTCCCCAACACACCAGGGCTGCCTCTTTGGGCCCCCTTCCGAGTAGAGCCCCAAGGAGAAAGTAAACTGAGGGTTCACATCCTGACACTCCAAACAAACCACAGAGAGGGCAGAATGTGGGTGCCTTAAAAAACATAAATCCAGCCCGGCCAGGCGTGGCTCAGCGGTTGAGCATAGACCTAGGATCCAGGCAAACAGGGTTCGATTCCCGGTCAGGGCACATGCCCGGGTTGCGGGCTTGATCAATGACTCTCTCATCATTGATGTTTCTATCTCTCTCTCCCTCTCCTTTCCTCTCTCTGAAATCAATAAAGATATATTTAAAAAACACACACACATAAATCCAAGCTTTTCCATTCTCTCCTACTTCCTGGGTCTTGCAGCTCTGTTGATGAATTAAATCAGGGCTCAAGAGAGAGCCCCTGCCATCCTATTACCTTCCCCGTCTTTCCTCCCCGTAGAAGCCCACCTGAGGGTGCTCCAACCCGCCTCTGCACTGGAACACTAGAAACTCAAACAGGGAGTAATAAACTAGCATTTGATCTTGCTATTCCAAGCGTGCTCTCTCAACACACTCACCATTCCTGGACACCTGGCTATAATTTTGCCCATATGCTATAAAAAATTCCACTGTCACCATGAATACATATACTGATGAAGAAATTGTACTTGATACAGTCAGTCTATTAATTTAATGAAATATCCATTATACTACGTTAAATGGATACAGCAGCCCTAGGAAATGAATGCAGTCCTTAAACTAGGAAATGAATGCATGGGTGTTTATGTTATAGTTCACAACTTATAAATGTGCTACATGTTACTTTTTATGTATCAAATAGTTACATAATAAGAATAAAAAGACAAAAGAAGTTCTTATTATTTTCATTACTACCAAACTGGGGCATGTTTCCACTATTAATCTTTATGGCAAATTCAGGAAAAGCTTTTCTTGACATTTTTATTCAGACTGTAAAAATCAACTTCCAACACTCCCTTTGATTTTTATAGAGTTTTTATTTCAAACTTGGTGTCACTGAGTCCCTGTTTTTCTGACTTAAATTGTAGTGTGCACATCTTCTGAGCAAAGCGTCCTGTATTTCCTGAATGAGGGTCATTGCCAAGCACACGCCTCTCATGGTATATTATCTTCTTGTGGACAGGCTGACATTTAACACAAGGAATCCTGGACATCTCAGATCACAGCAAGGTTTTGAGCATGCATGCATGCCACAAAGTTTAAGTGCCTTCCTCCAGCCTAGAAGCCACATCAGAGGGGCTGGTATGCTTTGTTTGCACAGCAGTACCTCTGCCTCCTAGAAACAGTGCCTGACACAAAGTAGGTGCTCAAGAAATTTGTTGAAGGTATAAATGGTTTTATGTGAGTGTCCACTTCTCAGAAGTAACAGTACCAATTACCACTTTTCAGAAGAGTTTATCAGCCATCTCCCAACATCCACTAACTTGTGATCTGTTTATTTCCCTCATCTGCTGTTTCACTGCCTTTTCTCCCAATCTGAGCACTCACGTGTGTGTGTTTTTCTTTTAAGAGGGTTTAGTTGTTTAATTTCCCATATTACCACTGATAGTAACATATTCTTTCTATCTTGAGGAGAAGAGGTGTGGGTGCTTTAGAATCTTTTATTGATACTCAGGTTGAATGTATCTTGATTAAGGAATAGATTCTAAGAAAGGAACTCCAAGAATACATGCAAAATAGATTTTTTTAAAAGGGGGGATTTATCTAATACTTTGAAAACCAAATCAATATTTTGAATCTATAAATTACATAATGAATGCTATGATTTGACAGTGCACTAATAAAATTCTTCCCCCCCCCCTTTTTTTTTACCCAGTAAATAGAGCCACAACTGTTAATGAGGTACTCCAGTGAGAAGTATCGAACTGGAGTACCTCATTACTGGAAATGCTGGTTGTAAAACTGATGGATTCAAACAACATTTGACAAGTGACCAGGCCTAGTCCTAGGTGAACATGGAGAGATGAGCAAGCTCTCTGCAGCGATTCAGTTCAGCGGGAGAGACGTAAGTAAACAGATTATTGCAATGTAAAGTGATTAAGTGCTATTGATCATTTTTACTGTGGTTTATTACACAGTTGTTTTTTGGATACTAGCCATCCGGATATGATATTTCTCTACTATATGGAATATTTGATGAACCAAGTTGTCCAAGTCCCTGACCATACCTGAGTAAGGGTTTGTTTTACAAGTTATAATCACGTCATTAAAAAAAACACAACTCAATATCTGCCACAGGGGAAAACTGTGCAATTGTTCTTTTCTACAGTTAATGGCTAATTTATTTTACCTTGCTTAAGCATTTTATGATCCCTTTCGACTTCCAGGAATTTGGGGGCCCTTTCTGATCTTAGAATGGAGAAGGCGGCTGCATGTCCACGTGGCACTGGTTTTCCCCGTGGATGGTGGCAACTCTTTCCTCAGACAAAAAGAGCAAAGGTCAGTAATAGATCCCCGTCAGTGTTTAGCTGGAAAATGAGGCCTAGTTAACGGGGATGGATCGAAACTGTATTAGCAAAAAGCGGTTACAGAGTTAAAATAGCTCAACTCGTAACTTCTAACGAAGAAGTGGATACTTCTTTACTTGATCATAAAATGATCTCCGCAAAATTGGCCAGGTTCACATCTCTTTGGGTAAACACACCCCTAGAGATTCTTTTTAAGTCATTAAAATGTTACCACCGCCTTGCCTGCAGGTGCTCCTCGGGACCCCTCCCCTCCCCTCCCCTGCCCTGCCCAGGTTTCCCAGGACGCCTGACACTGCAGCGGTCCGGCGACGGCGAATCTGAGCGGGGCCCTCTCCGTCCCAGCCCGCGGCGCCGAGCCCCGTAAGTCCCGAGGCTGCGGGCCACACAGCCCTCCGCCTCCTTATTTCTACCTGGCGTCCTGGTCCCTGGCTGGATGCGGGACGCGCTCCGTCTGCACGCGAACTGCAGGCTCAGTCTGACGCGCCGGCCCTGAGCTTGCCTCGCCTCTCGCGACGCCTATTGGGCAGCCCCAGAGATGGTGCTTTCAGCTTGAAAACGAGTTTAAAACAAACTTTTCCCCAAGCGGTCAGGCTGCCGGGAGGGCAGCGCGGGCGCGGACGCGGATGCGGAGCGCCATGCCCTCCTCTCTCCCCGCCGGGCTCCGCGCTCACGGAAAAGGGGGCGGAGGCGGGAGGAGAGGAAGGGG